TGAGGTCCAACTGGAGGGCGGTGTTCGCGTAATAGGCAGGCTAAGTAGCTGCTCTTTCACTAGCGAGGCGCAGGAGAACGATGGAGAAGGAGCAAGGAAGACGAGAAGCAATGGAGAGCCCGAGGTCCTCACTTAGGCCCATTTACGCGTAACCCAAGTAATCGTGAAGTAGAGAGCACCCCCGGTCCTCACGGAGGCCTTTTATCGCGTAACCTTTGGCCCCTCTGGCTAAGCGCTCGCCTGCGAGGAGCAGGAGAACGGAGCAGAACGAAGAAGGAGGACGCTGAGGCAGGGAGAGTCCGAGGTCCTCACTGAGGCCCGTTTACGCAAACACTGCCAAAAAGGAGACGATGATGATGATGATGATGTGAAGTTGAGAGTTGTTTCCTCCGGCGGTGCGGGGTCCCTCCATACCCCAGTGTTTCCCATCCTAACTTACGAATGTGCATTGGGGTTGCGAAATACCCCATCGCGATTACTAAGGGGTCACAGTGTATCCACGTAGTAGAAAGCACCCCCATTCCTCGCGAAGGCCAGTTTACGCGTAACCCGGGGCCCAGCAGCTAAGCGCTAGCCTGCGAGGAGCAGGAGAACGGAACAGAAGGAGGTAGGAGGACTAGGAGGCAGGGAGAGTTTGAGGTCCCCGCTTAGGCCGGTTTACGGGTAACCCGGGGCCCATCCTGCTAAGCACTCACCTTCGAGGAGCAGGAGAACAGAGCAGAAGGAGGTAGGAGGACAAGGATGCAGGGGGAGTCCGAGGTCCTCGCTTAGGCCGGTTTACGCGAACACTACCGAGAAGGAGAAGATGATGATGATGATGTGAAGTTGAGAGTTGTTTCCTCCGACGTTTCGGGGTCCCTCCAGACCCCAGTGTTTGCCATCGTAACTTACGAATGTGCATTGGGGTTGCGAAATACCCCATCGCGATTCCTAAGGGGTCACACAGTACCCACGGAACACAGAGTGCCCGAGGTCCCGAGTTAGCCCTGTTTACGCGTTATTTGGGGCCCACCCGGCTAAGCGCTTGCCTGCGAGGAGCAGGAGAATGGAGCAGAAGGAGGTAGGAAGGCGGCAGGGAGAGTCTGAGGCCCTCAAGGAGGGCGGTTTACGCGAACTCTGGCCTCTGTAAAGCCAAGCGTCCAACAGCGAGGCCCAGGAGAACTGAGGAGAGGGCCAGTTTACGTGAAGACTACCCTCTGTAAAGCTGAGGGTTTGCAAGCGCAGGGTAGAAGGACCAAGGAGAAGGAGGAAGGAGACGATGATGATGATGATTTGAAGTTGAGAGATGTTTGCTCTGGTGATTCGGGGTCCCTCGAGACCCCAGTATTTGCCATCGTAACTTACGAATGTGGGGTGGGGTGGCGAAATACCCCATCATGATCACTAAGGGTCACAGAGTACCCACGGAGCACGGAGCGCCCGCGGTCCTCACTTAGGCCGGTTTATGCGTAACCCGGGGCTAAGCGCCTCTCCAGCGTCCCTCCAGACCCCAAGGTTTGCCATCGTAACTTACGCGATCGATGGAGGGTTACAACCAATTAGGTGCCTTTGTCCGACGCTGTGACGAGACCCGCTATAGCCGGAAGTCCGCCTGATCCCCATCTGCCCCCACCGCGAACCGGAGCCCTGTTTCGTAAGCGACGAGAGGGGCTTTTACCTCGTCGCAAGCATATCCTATCCACATAGGATATACTTGTGAAGATGGAATATGGGGGAGAGCAGAAGTGCGTTAAAGTTCCACAAAGTGATGAATGAAGGACATGCATATTGTATTGAAGAAATAAGTGATGAGAATGTTGTTATTTGCATTTACCAGCTCACCTATGTCAGACTTTTTGATAAACAAAATTCTAATGAAAGTGAGAACTGTCATGATCCTGGGCCATGTTGGCCCAGTATTCTTAGTTTTCATGTATTTTTGTATTTTGTTCCTTATTTAGGCCATGCTTCCTGGGTTGCCCTGTTACGTTGTTCCTTATGTGTTTTCCCCTTGTGACTCTTACCCCCTGTGTGCCCCTCTGTGTATCTGTGAGCCCTCGTCTCTCCTTGTGTTTTATTCCATGTTTTCCCCAGCCCGTTATGTCTGTGCTCTCCCCGTGCTCTCTCTCCTCCTGTCTGAACCTCCGTGTACTTCCTGTTTTACTTTGACAGTCTCTCGTCAGTATGCGTCATGTTGTGTTCACTCCTGCCCTGTCTCGTTATCTGTGTCAGCTGTGTTCCCCATGTGTTCCCACTTCCCTCGTTAACCCTCTGTGTATTTATGTCTGCGTCTCCCTCAGTTCGGTGTCGCGTTCTCCCTCATGACTGTGTGCCCCTCCGTGTGTTTCCTTGTAAGTCAGTTCCTTAGTACTTTCCAGTTTAGTTTCATGTTATTTTGTATCGCTGTTATCTTTTGTCATCTTTTGTCAGCAATAAAGCTGTATTTTGAGTTCAGTCCTGTTTTCCCGTGAGTTTGCGTTTGGGTCCTATTTCCTGCCTGCCACACAGCCAGTTCATGACAAGAACATGTACACTGTTACATCTTTCAGAAAATGTTTTGAAATTGTGGTGCACAGTTCAGAATAAATGTTTTTCAAAAACCATTGCGTCTTTTTAGTAAATGTTTATTTCCAAAAGAAATTTCTAAAAGTTCAAAACAAGAAAATTCACGCTTTTTAGAATTAATTAGAAGATAACTCTTATGTAGTTAAACTAAAATACTCTTTGAGAGTTAATATATAAACTCTTAACACCTAGTTAGCATTAGTAAGTGTTAAATTATCAACTCCAGACAGATTTGGTGTTTAACACTAAATCAGAGTCAACGTTCCAACTCTCCAAAAAGAGTTAAATTAACACTCTCTGGTGTGGACTGTCGCGAAATCGATCAATGTAGAGCAGTGTCACAAACCACGGAGGCCCCAGGAAAGTGCAATCAAACGTTGAGTTTATTAACAGCCCGGAGAAAACATCAACATATGTCTTCTAATAGCTATAAACAGACATAGAACTTCTCATTTTGATAACACCTTCCATACAAGGTAATAATCTTAAGCCCTCAGAGTGACTGAGGGCTGGTTATCGCCTCCAGTCATCTGTTACCAAGTAGAATAAGATGCAACAGGTTTGCAACAAGAAGCTGGAAACATTTGGGCCTCTGCTCAGGCCTATTCCTAGATTATATGTATTATATGTATTGTAAGCATGCATTGCAGCTATCCTTCTATGTTCTAGTTTCCCTCAGCATGGATCACCTGGACAGTCACGCCAGTGAAGCTTAAGACCCTTAATGAACCGAACATCAACTCAAAATAAGCACAGATATGCAATGTGTATAAAATACTTCTAACCGTACTTGTAATAAAAGTTAACATAATGGAAGGATCCTCAAATGGACATCTTCAATAAACAACTGTAATGCAGTATCAATACTGTGAGAAATATTATTAGATGAAATAATGCTGTAAAGAATGTTATTAATGCAATTACGATGATGCAGATTATATGGCAGCAATAAAAGAATTTCTGTATCTTCACAGCACCCATATAGACACTTTCATAGTGTTGACATCAAATCTGACAGTGTTAATTTGAACATGCTGGATTTGCTGGTTGCAGGACACCGGCCCTCGAGGCCTGGAGTTTGACACCTGTGGTCTAGGGGCTCACTGCTGTAAAAACTCTGTCTCGGTTTTGTATGCTGCACATGAACTCAGCTGGGGATTAATGGATGTAAAAGTTCTCTGGTGTGCAGTAATGGTTATCCACACAGAGCTCTAAATTCCAAACCTGAATCTTAAATTGGACTGAAATTATCGGTAAGCCAGTGTAACTGAATTTTTAACATGGTCATATTTGAGTACTTAGATGTTTTGGTAAGAAAATTGCATGCAGTCCAACTTTTAATAAATTCTCACCGCCTATGAAAGGTCTGTAACTTAGAAACATCTTGGGGCTTAATAGATATATGTAACTGAATATTATCTGCACCCCAGTGATAGGAAATTTTCTTTGAAAGTGCAGAAAAAAGGTAAAAGCCCCCAAAATTCACACGACAGGTAAGAGAAGTGGACCTGAACTTCAAAGCAGCTACAAAAAAGGATCGCTCAGACACGTGTGAAGAGAACTACTCTATAGCAACATACTTTAAATTTACGAACTTATTTGATACCAAGTAAATACAGGACCGATATGGATACTTTCTAGGTTTTTGTTTATTTATTTATTTTGAGACCTGGAATCTAATTGTTCCGTCTTTAAAGCACTTTGGGTCAACCTCTATTGTTTAAATGTACTTACAAACAATAGCCATGTAAGTCAACACAAAAGTGCATGTTTCATAGTGCATATTTGAGGTATTGTTTTAATTTCTTTTCTTCTTTTCTTTTCATTACTATATAAAGCACCCTGAGTTGACTGTTGTGATTTTGCACTATATAGATAAATTAAAATGATTATTATTTAATGATGAAATTATGAAATTATTTATTAAAAAAAAAACTATTTATCGAACACTAGATACTGAACTGGTATATATTCGCTACCAATACCAGCATTGGTATTGATACTACGGATATTTGCCGACCTCTCTTATTGAGCATGTGATGGTCAACAGTATCAAGAGAAGAGGTCAGGCCCAAGATCAGCAAAGCAGAACATTCTCCTGCATCACCCAGCATCAAACTGTCATCAGTCCAATAAACAGCACAGAAGCCTGATTGTAATTTATGAAGTGCTTGTCCAGGAGAGCTGTCGCATAGCCACAATCTTGGCTAAAATCTTTGCAACAAACGGTTAAAAATAGTGTTATTCCTTAAAAAAAACAAAAAACAAAAACTAAATAGATTGAATAAACTATTTTTTGTAATTATTATAGTAATTTTGCTGAAAATGTTTTTGGATGTAAACGTTTACTTGTCAATAAAGCTTCCAGAAGAAAAAAAGCGGGGTACTTCCGGTCTCCGCTGCTTCGTAAACGTGCCGTACGTCATTACGTGTTCATATTTACGGCAGCAGCTCCATCCATGTGGTTTTAAGATCTGCGGTTTCTCGACGTCAGCTGCTGAAGAAGCGTAGCAGTCGCTAACTATGTTCATGTAAACAACAGTGAAGGATATGGTTTTTGACGCTTTGTTTTACAGCTAACACGATGGCGCAGCCGGCGGAGAAAGGTATGTGTCACTACAAAGTTATTTATTAAAAACACAGCAAGCCAGCATATTTTACTGAGCTGACCAAGACCTCTGCTTGTAACCCTGCAGACGCTTCCCTAAAAAAAGCCTCTTAGTGACCAAGTCAGCATTTTATGCTTCCAGTGTCACAAAAAGAGCTCGTGACTGTAGGAGAAGTTGGCTGAACACGAAACTCAGTTCGCTCTGTGCGTAATTAGCACACATAATTCTCCACTCTGTTCTTCGTAATTCATAAGCTTAACTGAACAGAACAGCACTTTGTTAAAAACCAAAAATATCCTCAGACATAATAAAATATTTGTTATATTGGCTGCTGCACTTTTAAATCACCTGATGTTGCCCTTTCTTTATTGTGCTTCACTGTCTTGCAGCATACTATCGCTTTGTGGTGCTCTTCTTTAACTGTCTGCTGACCTTTGGGTCCTACTTTTGCTTCGACATTCCCAGTGTGTTACAGGATCAGTTCCAAGGGGTGAGCAAGAGGCAGCGCTGCTTACAGATCGCATCAATATTGCACGACTTGATTATCAGGAGGGAAAGACTGATGTTGTTTTTAATGTTTGACAGAACCTGACGTGTCCCAATGCGACGGTGATCAATGGGACAGTGGACTGTGTGGAGGGACTGGGGATGACCCCTCAGCAGTACAATCTTCTCTATGCCATCTATGCTTGGACGTAAGCACGTTAATGCATTGATTTCACTGTGAAAATGCAGAAAAGTGGCTTATCAATGAGAAGCTTCTCTCTGTTATCAACAGGAATGCAGTAGTGGTGATCCTGGCTGGATTCCTGATTGACAAATTAGGAAATCGCTGTAAGTTTTGTTTTATGTTTTCTCTCTGCATGGTCTGCAGTTATTTTTAATCTACTGACAGTAAAATGATGGTACAACCATTTCTTTTGCTCCTCTTTGCAGTCGGTGTGTTTCTCTTCTCTTTTCTCTGTGTTTTGGGCTCATCGCTGTTTGCTCTCGGCTCCCACTTCAAGGGATCTCCCTACTTGCTGCCGCTAATGCTCACCGGCCGTCTGCTGTTTGGATCAGGCAATGGATCTCTGACTAGTAAGTTCTCTTCATGGATATGAACAAATATTCTCTGCAGCATCGCCTTTGAGGAGCATTTCTTAACCACTCAGTTACCTTTCTCCTTCTTCATTAGTTTGTTCAGAATCGCATCACAGCCTTCTGGTTCAAAGGGAAGGAGTTGGCTTTGGCTTTCGGCCTGACCCTGGCCTTCTCGCGGCTGGGCTCGGTGTTGAACTTCTTCCTCACGCAGAAGTTTGAAGAAAAATATGGCATGCAGTGGACACTCTGGGGTGGTAGGTGACGAATGCGAAGAAATCTCAAGGATTATGGTGTGGTGCCATGTGACCTGGGTTTCTCATGTTATTGTTTCTTAGGCGCACTGTTGTGTGTGCTGGGCTTCACTTCCGCTGTCATTGTCAGCACCTTGGACAAGATTGGAATGAGACAGCTGGGTCTCGATGGAGCCATCCAAGAAGAGTCTCGCAAAGTGGTACGATCAATATCCTTTAATAATAACAACATGCATACATAGGGATGGGTATCGTTTAGGTTTCATCCGATACCAGTACCAAACCGGTACTTTTGAAACAGTGCCGGTGCTTAAACGGTACTCAAACCAGTGCTTAAAGAATAAAGAACACAAAATTGGTCCAAAAACCTCTCATGTTCAGCTGTTATTTTGTAAAAAGATAACAATGTTAGCCTTTTCTGCAGCTATAGGGCATATATGGTATCACTCTTGGCTGGAAGCAGTGCTTAAATAATGGAAAAAACACAAACTTTGTCCAAAAACCTCTCATGTTTAACTGTTTTCCACTTTTTCTTTGGTCATTTTAGCCTTTTTGGCCAGGGTGAAGGGAGTATCTGCCATCAAACAAGAAGACAGCCGCATGTAACTACGACTTTGTTTGCTAGTTCACCTTACATGCATTAATGTAATAACGTGGTTAGCCTACTCAACGTAAATTACGCATAAACAACATTAAGCTACTCACGCAGAGAAGAACGGCTGCTGCTGCTGCCATCATCATCCGTCATCATTTCTGCTACACTGGCAGGGCTAGGGGCCAGGACTCTCCTCTTCGGGTTTTTGGGGGATGTTGCTAACTCCGGGTCGATAACAGGCACCACACCCGCAGTAGATGTGCTCGGTGTGAGGTCTCGCAGGAAGCGATCAAATACGGCGCATTTCTCGGCTTTTAAAAACACCGCTATGCGTCGCCAGGTGTTTCATCGGATTTGAGGTGTTACCTCTTTTGCACAGTATGACCTTAAAGCACTTGTTGCAGGCTGCTGAGTTTGCGTCTTTTGTGAAGTACAGCCAGACTTTTGACCGCTTCGCCTTGGGCATTTTTAATCTGTAGCTCTGCTCTAAAAGAACGTACGTACCTGGGCCCACTACTATCCTCGAAACGTAAAATGATTGGCTAGAATCTAAAGTGTATCACAGCTCAGGAAAAACAAGCACCGAAATGAAGCACCGAAATCTGCGCTGCTTTTCGGTCTGGTTACTACCGTTTATGTCAGAACCGGTGACATCATGGCACCGGATACCGGTACCCATCCCTATGCATACGTAACATTGATGATTTAAACCTTGTTTTTCAGTATTATGGACACACTAGTGATCTGTGTGTGGAGCATCATTTATTGTTGTGTGTTTTTTATTTGTAGAGGATTCAGGATGTGAAGCTCCTGTCAGTAAGATACTGGCTGCTGGTTCTCACCATCATGTTCTTCTACAACGGCATCTTCCCCTTCATTGCTGATGCAAGGTAGAGTTCTTGACATAAAGTGTGTGCATACTGATGAAATACAGTGATGTGAAAAAAATGTTTTCCTCCTGCCTGATTTCCTGTTTTTGTTTTTTTGCTTGTTTGTTTGTTTTCAAGCATTTGCGATAACTGGCAATGCGTCTTCACAATGCTGTGGAAGAATTTTGGCCCATTTGCAGAATTGTTGTAATTCAGCCACTCTGGAGAGTTTTTCAGCATGAACCAGCTTTTTAAGATCATGCCACAGCATCTCAATCGAATTCAGGTCAGGTCTTTGACTAGACCACGCCAACGTTTTTATTAGATAAGATGAATTAACTGTGGTGTGTCAAATCTTTGGAAAGCTGAGTTTAGTTTCTCTAGCCACACCCAGGCCTGATTACTTCCAGACGTTTTTATAAAAGTAACACAGCATTTTAGAAAAGGAACATTAAAATATGGTGGTGGTAGTAGAGCAGGGCGATATGGCCAAAAGTATTTATCACGATATATATTTGAAAATTTGCGATAACGATATAACTGACAATATAATTGATGCGAGACAAAATACAACTCCACAACATTACTAGCACAAAAAGACAACCTTCCATTTATTTCCACTTAAACAAGAAGCTGGTTTTTAGGTACATTAAAGCTTTATAAAAATGTAACAGTGCAAATGCAAATTCCTTGCTGAAAGTTTAACCAAAAGGCATTTCCAGTAGAAATGGGCTGACATATCCTGAGCATAACCATATATGATATCCACTGAAGTTAAAAGAGTTGCTTTGCAACATTAAACTGCAGTGTGCAGTACGCATTTTTCGGACCATAAGGTGCACGGGATTATAGCGCACATTAAGCGAAACAAAGCAGTCAGATAAATCAAACTTTATTAAACTCATTCTTCTTGCTTCCTCCACTTCTGTACCATTGATTCATTAATGTTGAATTCTCTGGCAGCTGCTCTATTCCCATGTTGTTGCAGTATATTAATGACTAACCTCGTATTGTGGATGGATTATCTCAGTTGTTCTCCTGACTGAAGTTTGGTCCGTTTACAGCATCCTGCCATGCGACTGCATTTGTCTCTAACTATCAGGAACCTTAACGTTAACTTTTATAAGTGGAAAAGTGTTAGTGTTCGTCCTCCAGCTTCACTGTTTATGTTATGCTAACATAGCTGTGTCACTAGCGATCACGTAGCACATCATTATATACCAGCTAGCCCAACTTCAGTAACCCTACAAACGTCACTGCTGTTAAGTTTCCTGTCTTCATTTATGTTTGAAGTGATAGCAGAGCTGTACATTTGAATTTTTTCAGAAATCTCTCAGTCAGAACATGCTATATCACGCTTAGGTAACTAGCGAAACTAGCGAGCTAACTTCCGCTAGCTTCCTGCTAACTTCTAACTCCGTTAAATGTAATAACTTTTGTTTTCATGGATGTCTGGAAGTTAAACTTTATAGTTACACCTGGTAAAGCAGCAATGCTGATCGTTTTATTAAAGATGAAAGAATTTAGACAGTTTTTAACTCTCAGTGATGCTGCAGTGTTGTTTGACCTGAAGCATACAGAGTTTAGGACCCAGATTACTCCCAGATTTAAGAGCATCTTAGTCCGACAAATACGACAATAATGACGGCCGCTTGCATGTTCTGCAAAAAAATGTGCTTTGTTGTGTATCTGACGGACAAACACCAAACCAGTTCCACATCACTGAAGTTGCACCATTTTTACAAACCAATTCTGGTTCATCTGTTTCACTCAACAATCGACCATGTGCGTATGAAAACAAAGGCACTGCGCGTGCGCGTTTTACTCCCATTCTATCGCGATATTTCATTTTCCTATCGTTGCCTAACATTATACCGGTATTACCGTGAACGGTATAATATGGCCCAGCCCTAGGTGGTAGTGTGATGGTCTGGGGCTGTTTTGCTGCCTCTGAACCTGGAAGACACGCTGTGGTAAATGGAACCGTGTGGCACGTCTATCAAAACTTCCTGACGGAGAATGTCAGGCCATCTGTTCATGACCTCAAGTTGAAGGGCACCTGGGTGACCCAAACCACACCAGCAAATCCACCTCTGAATGGTTGGAAAAAAACAAAACAAAATGAAGACTCTGGAGTGGCCTAGTCAAAGTCCTGACCTGAGTCTGATTGAGATGCTGTGGCATAACCTTAAAAAGGCAGTTCATGCTTGAAAGCCCTCAGATGTGGCTGAATTACAACATTTCTGCAAAGATGAATGGGCCAAAATTCCTCCACAGCGCTGTGAAGACTCATTGCCAGTTAACGCAAACGCTTAAGTGAATTTGTTACTGCTAACGGTGGCCCCGCCACTTATTAGATTTAGGGGCAATTACTTTTTCACACAGGGCCATGTAGGTTTGGATTGTAATGTAATATTTACATTTGTTTGATCTGAAACATTTAAATGCGACAAAGATACAAAAAAAAAACCACCTTTACACACCACTTTCAGAGCAACCAGTGAATTATAACCCAGCATTCCTTTGAATAGACCAGCACCAAAGTGATACTGGTGTCATAAGCATTCACATCTGCCATTTATTCTTTTCATTTGCCAGCAAGTTCATCCAGGATAAGTACAGCTACTACAGCCAGAAGGAGGCGGCTTATATTGCAGGAGCAGTCTATGACAGCTCACTGGTCCTCTCAGCCAGCGTGGGCATTCTCATCGTATGTATCTTTAGTCTACACCAAATTGTATTCCTGCATTGAGTTGAGTTGGTTTATCATGAAACAGTCTCGCTGCCATGTGTTTCAGGATTATGTGGGTCTGCGGGGAGTCTTCGCAGTGGCGTGCGCTGTCCTCACGCTGCCCGTGTTTGGACTCCTGGCTTTCACTTTTGTCCCTCCTCTGGTTTCAACCATATGGCTGGGAGTCACCTACTCCTTTGCGGCTGTGAGTAAATAGACATCAGTAAAATGGTAAATTATTACTATGAATTAATGTATTTCCTAGTATGTTAAACTTGTTGCTGCCTTTGTGGCATTCCAGGCCAGCATGTGGCCGTCTATTCCCCTTGTCGTACCTCAGGCGACCCTGGGAACTGCCATGGGCCTGGCCACCTCCGTACAGATGATTGGGATCGGGATCTCCAATCTCGTTGTTGGACAAATACTAGGCACCAAGTCCAGGTGGGGAGAACCTGACATTAGAATCTCATTGCCGTGCACTAATTGTCCTTCCAGTCTTGTTTAGCTTTGCAGTTTCTCTATTTGTGTTGCAGTGAAACTAAGATCCCGCTGTGGCGTTGGCAGAGGATGATGATCTTCATGTTGGCCAACACCATCAGCTGCATTGTGACCTCAGTGCTGCTTAATGTTGTTGATCACAGACAGGTCAGACATCTGTAGAAGTTATCTCATGAGTTTATACTCTATACACACACTCAGCAGGAAGTTAATTATTATTTTTTTGTCCCTACAGGGTGGGACCCTGAACAAGACAACCAAGAAGTCAGGGCAGGAGCAGAGAGACCCGGACCGAGAGCCGCTCACCCAGGCAGAGGAAGAGCCAAATGAGCAAGATGGTGATGCTGTTCAATCTCGTTCTATTAACTCTTAAGGTTTTCATTTGCACAGTTTTTTGTTATTTGAGCATTATTCTTGCTGTTTTTGAGTGATGCAGTCAACTCAGAAGGTATTCAAGACCTTTCCTTTTCCTTTTTCATGCCATTCATTAAGTTTTCAGCAGCTCTGACGAGTATCCCTATCATACAACCATCATGCTGCACTGTAGGGATTACAGTGAAGTTTTGAGCAGGTTATGAGTCATGTCTGGTGTTGGCTAGATTATCTTTTCCTTTCCTTTGAGAAAGTTTGCTGTTTGGAAGCTCAATGAATCTGTTATGCCTTTTAGTTAGAGTAACTTCCATGTGGCTGCACAGCCGTGAAGGCGATTAGTAAGGTGCTGTTGAGATGGATATCCTGGGCTTCTCTCATCTCACAGATAACCAAACTACCGTTAAAAGAGTCTCAGGTCCTTGGTCGCCTCTTTGACCGAGATCCTTCTTGCAAGAAAAGCATACGACGAGTCCTGCCAAATCAGGTCCTTTATATCACTTTTTTTTTTAAAGTCAAATCGTTCCTGATTGCTTCAGAAGTTGTTTTAAAAATAAAAAATTTCTTTAAAAAAATCTACAGTTATAAACCATGTTTTAAATTCCCTCTGGTGGATTTCACTCAGGTTCTAGAAACATTTCCAGGATTATTAAAGAAAAAGGGATGTATCTGATGATGGTAACACAAAAGCAAACAGTCTGAATACTTTTGTAAGTTACAGATTTCTGTTCGAGTTTTAACTTTGTGTTAAAAATTGATTACAAACACTGAAACACATTTTGTCAGTCTTGTTGTGACTATGACTTTACTGCTATAAATAATTGTGTGGAAATTCCTGCAGTTACTAAATTTTATTTGTAACAACAGTGAGATTCTTGTAATTCTGCTGCTTTCCAAACTTCTATCATTTCAGTTTAGTATTTTATCTGTGCAACTTGAAACTTAATTTGTTTTCCCTCACAGTGACCACAAACACAGCACATGACAGACACGATCAGCACCTAGCTGCTACACACGGTGGTGCTTATAACTGCTAGAAAGAGTTATTTCTCTCACACATTTGGTTTCATGAAAACAGATTTAGAAAAGAGTCATCAGAACTTGCGTTTATTGAAATATGCAACATAAATGGTGATCATGTAAGTAGTGTTCACAAAATGTTTTTCTTCACACAAACATGTTAAAGATGTTCTTGCAAAGTTGCGATTTCAGCACGTCAACTTGACCTGCAGGTGGAGCGTTCGGTTGTAGTCTCTTTTATGAGTGCATGTTAAACACACAACAGCCATTAGGTGGCGCTCCTCACACATGTACAGTTTGTATCAAGATCATGGGATTGTGAAGAGTCCACTTTTCTCTTTGCAGGATTTTCACCTCAGTTGGATGTTTCCCGTATTTTAACCTTTTGAATTTTATTGTCAATCCCCAAATATGCAATGGGCCCTTTTTTTTTATTTTTATTTTTTTTATAAGTGATTGTGGGAATTTTGGGGGAGGTAGGCAGAATAACAGTACTTCATATCACACCCATCAAACTGTCAACACCTGTAAGAATGTGGCCTTGGTTAAAATAGCTGCAGATAAATAGCACACCCTCTTCAGTGAATACCACAGAGTCTTTAAGGCGTTCACTGATTTTCCCCATGCCGCCTAATTCTGGACATGCTACTACTTTTTATATTGTTAGTGACATCGGTGTATTTAATTCCGTTTTCCATTTGTATTGGTCCAGTGATACTCGGTCTTGTACAAGTTTTTTCCATTTCTAAAAGACAAAACATCAATGCTACTAAATAAAATCTAAATGCAAATACTTGTGCAAAATGCCTTTTGATTCTTGAGTCATAACTTACAGTATCAAGGAGTATGACAGGAGGAAGAAGTAAAGTTGGTGAATCTGACAACATTTGAAGATTTTCAATTCATTCCTCTGTGCAGCTGTAACCAGGTTAAATCAGTTATAATAACAATAAATAAAATAAGCTGCATTTTCTTCTCTTTTGATAAGAAAAACAATCCTGCAGATGATGTAACAATCGTACTGTTCTGGATCTGCTGTGTCACATTTACTGTTCAGTCACTTGTGTTGTGCTTCATTCATCTGCTGGTTAGATTATAGCAAAGCTGAGACAGCATGAGTAAGGTGGGTTAAACGGTGTTATAAGGTTAGTGAATATCATTTACATGTACATGTGTGTCTGTGTCCAGCTGTCCTTTAGTTCAGCCATAATCCGTCCAACCATCAAACAGACTGACTTGTACAGATATGGATGGCCCTTTTTTTCAAAGCTTCAAATACGGGCATACAGCTCATAATCTTCTTAAAAAACTGCCCCAATTGAGTAGAAAAGTAAGATTCGAATGCTGACATTCTTGTGTGAAGTCAGTGTTACTAAAACTGAGGTTTTAGTAACGGAGGTTACTTGAAAGAGACTTCCAAGAGCTGAGATCCTCTATTACTGTGAGGATCAACCCTAAAAATACACCTCACCTAAGCTTCTTAAGGGGTGTGCGGTGGGAGTTAGTCTGCGACTGCCTGATGGACAACACACACTAACGCTGACTCACAAAGTCGATTTAACACCTGACATTCCACACAAGGGCTTGACCTCTTCAAGTTTGCTTTATGGTTTCTAACCAGCAGTCGGTCTTCAGCCTGAACTGTTTGGCTGAAAGTCTCGACAACATGAGCGTGTCAAGCCTTCTCAACCTCAGCAACCTGGGCAAGATCTGCGGCTCCAGCCACAGCAACGACATGATAGTTCTGGACCGGGTGAAGAGGAAGAACTCCGTCAGGCGCATGTCAATAATTGAAGACGGTCAACTCGCAGAGGTTCTCTACTTGATTCCAAAGCAGTCCATAATGGAGCAGCTACCGTTCCTCAACCCTAACGACTACATTCTGTGTGAAAAGCTGGCAGGTATACCTGCAGAGCTGTCAGGTAATGACTCGTTACTTCATTAGGTGTTAGCTATTGGTCGTATCTTTTGAAAAATGAGCTGCTGCTTGATATTTCCCTCAAGTTTATAAAGTGGTATAACGTTTTCTCTAATCCATACTGGGTCAAAATTATAGATACAGACATAAACCCCTAACTAATATTTAGTTAAATGTTCCTTAGCAAGTTGTACCTTGGATCAGATGCTTTTGGTATCCATCAACAAACTTCTGACACAATTCTGGCTGAATATTTGACTGATAGAATAGGTAGAGTTAAATCAATTGGTTTCTTGGCACAGACACGGCTTTTAAGCGTAGTTCACAAATTGTCCATAGGGTTGAGGTCTACATGCACTCATGATGACTGCATGCATCACAGTTTCAGTCATCATAAGTCTGCACAACCCTTGCTGTGCACATCTTGAAGCTGAAGTTTATTGAGCAACACAAGAAAGTCCTGAAACATCACAGAAGACAGCTAAAGTGTATAATGACAGAATTATTAGTTGGTTTTAGAAAAGGTTAAACATCTGAAGCCTTTGCCAGAAAACATCAAACAGACTTTGAACAGTTCTGGAAACAAAATCTGGGCAGTGGAACGAGGTGATCAGTGTTTATTGATGATGTATCTGCTGACAGAAGAAGCAGGATAACTTTTGAAGTACACAGGACGATGCTCTCTGCTCGGTTTCAGACAAATGCTGCAAAATTATTTGGACATTGCTTCACAGTGCAAATGGACAATGAGGCATGGCTTTTGCAGCGAAGCGCAAAAGCAAAATAAGAGTTTGGTGTCAAAAATGCACTTTTCTGAACACAAGAGCCAATTTAAAATAAACTATTAGCCAAACAGGCATGCAGAGATCCCCAGGAACGTTCAGTCCCAGAATGATCTGACAGTCCCAGCTGCTGCACCAGTGTGATTGTTTTTCGAAAACAATCAAGTAATCCTGATATATGATCATCATTTATGTAATGCCGACATAGAAAAGTTTGTATGTTTTTCCCTCTAAAAGAAAACCCCAACACTAATACTTCAGAATAACACACAAGTGCAGCAGCGTTATATTTCAGAGAAACAATTACATCGTTGCAGTGAGCTCACATTCACATACTCTCCCCCTCGGAATGGATGAGGTCATAGATTAGAAGCACAAGAGAATTTAATGGCAGTCCTGCTGTCCTCTGTCATTGACACACACACACCACACACACACAAACACACACCCCTGGCCTTTGTGTTGTGGAACCACCCCTTTCTCTTGGACCAGCAGTCCAGTTAGTGCCTCTCCTCACTCACGCCGTGAACTTCAGCGCAGAAGAACAGAAACCATGAAACAGAAAGGTAGACATTTTCACGTGTGTTTGTGTTTGTGTATAGGTAACAAAGAAAGGAAAAATGTCTCCTTGTGTATATTTTTGGTTGTCTTTTTATATTTATGAGATGTTATTTGTGTTGAGTCAAAGTTGGATCCGGATGACACTTTTGGTTCTGGTAGTAAAAATGAGAAATGTGACGTTTTCATTTCAGATAAATTTATCACTGAACACCTACATCTATGCTAGATTGACACTGTGCATGTGTAAAAGTGTACGGTGAAAAGTGCAAGTACAACTGTTACAATAAAAGTAGAACATAGTTGGGAAAGAACAGCATGTGATTTCAGAAATACCTCTGAATTAAGCAGCGATTAGCCCACTGTGCAGCAACAAGGAGCACTCAGATGTGACTAAAATGTGGAGGTGACTCTTATCACAGTGAGGGTATTCTGTCTTCCACAGCAGCAACAAGAAACATCTATAAATAATTTAAAGACATTCAACTAAATGAGCGGTTATTTGTATAATATTCTCACACATGGTGCTCTCTACTCTAGAAATTCCCATTGCTACTTTGCTCCTACTGAACCTGAAGTAATTTGAAGGGTTACACTGATTTGACATCTTTGTAGTGTTGGAATCACAGCCTGAGTGCTTTAATACAGCCTCTGTAGAGCGCAGGTAGGGTGCTTTTAAATCTGTCTGCCCAAGATAATGATGGCATCACAATACACTGCAAGACTTTGATTTGTAGTACATTACAATATCTGTGAATATGAAAAAACAGCCTTAAAAATCCAGATTAGAAATGTAAATATTCCCTGCATCACAGTTTTATTTAGGTTTAGTAACGTGTCACTTAAGTAGATCTCTGAGCTAAGGCAAAAACAGATTTTGTACAATTCTAATGAACTTGAAAGTCATTGCCTGGTATAATCACCTTTATTATTTAACACAGCCTGAACTCTGTTAAGCAAGTTTTCTCGTAATTTATCTAAGTAGTCTTCAGGAAAGTTTCTCCAGGCTTCTTGAAGGACTTTCAAAGCTCTTTTTTGGCTCTTTGTAGGCTTTCCTATTTTACTGCTCTTTAAAGATGATCCCACACTGCTTCAATAATGTTGAGGTCTGGGCTCTGGGGAGGCCACCGTGTGTTTTTCTATCCGAGTACTGTATGCTTTTACTGTTGGCAGTGTGTTTGGGATCGTTTCCACGCTTAAAAATGAGGCAGTTGCCACTCAGAGGCTTCCCAAATGGTATTAGAAGGTAGATCAAAATCTGATGTTACTTATCAGTATTCATAATTCCATTAATTTTCATAAGATCTCCACCACCACTGGTTTTACAGCTGTCTGGAGACACTCGCTGTTGTACACTGTTTTATTATCAGAATTCTCTAATTTGGACTCATCACTTCATCAGAGCTGTTGTCAGATACTTTTTAGATAATGTTTTAGGCCTGCAACATCTTCTTTTGTCCTCCACTTATCCAGTTTCCTCATGTTTTTTAAGGTCACATTGATATGCCAAATTTCCAGCTAACAGCTCTTTGGGAACCACCTTCCTGATATCGCCAAAAGTTAATTCTGTCCATGTGGACGTTGTGTTTTCAGTGGGAGAAACGTTTCGTAACTCATCCAAGTGACTTCTTCAGTCTCAGCTGACTGCAAGTTTCCTCAATCTTATAAACAGTACATTAATGACTGAAACTAGCACCACTGAAGGAACAGTGGGCTGGGAGGTCATTTCCTTGATCATTATTCAAGGATCAACTTTTGGGGAATTTCTTACCTGGATGATTGAGCATCAAGACACCTTACTGATACAAAAATACTACTTTATGCCTGTCAAACTGTGTTACCTTTGGCATTTTTCACAGATTCGGCTAAAGAATTTTCAATGTTTCATAGGTCAGTTTTAAATGACAAATGAACCAATGTCCAAAGGAAAACTTTGAAAGAGCTTCAAAAAGCCTGGAGAGCTATCGTTCAAGACCACCTTAAAATATGATAAGAAAGTTTGACTCCTTGTAAAGTGATGAGCGGTGATGAAATGATAGGCAATGAGACCTTTGCACATTATTTATTATTGTGCAAATTATATGTTATTAAAAAACAAATTCAAAGTCAGGCATTAAGGTTACTCGGATGAAGTCCCGAAGCTGATTTGGAAATGTATTTGTTTGACAATAGAGTTCTAAGAACCACTGAAGTTTAAATCTTCTGATGCCATTTTACTTCCCCCTACGTACATAAAAACTAAGCATACCAAAAATAGATGCTCCCATACTCCTCTCTCACACACACACACACACACACAGATACAGATTTTCATAGCTGGGCTGTGTGCGATTAGCTGTTCGGCTCGGGTTTCTCTCCATTTGCTGTCTTTCTAAATCTACCGTTTGCTAATACTTGACACATATCACATATCAGCTTCAGATTCTGGAAGAGATCAAGAAAGTGTGGGAGGGCATTAAAAAGCTTTCCATCTGAGGGCTTCAATCATTTTTTAGTTTTACCATTTAAAAAAAGACAATTAAAAGCACACAAAGGGTGCATATACTTCAGTGCAGGATGACACCACACAGTGCAGAATAGTACAGCTAGACCTGAATATATCCATCATCTAGTTTCCAGCAAGAACAAAACTTAAAGTATTTCTGACTTCAAGACAAGTGAATTGCATGAATTCGTGCTGGCAGAACATCTCTGTCATTAACAAATGTCTGAGGTGCTCTAGGACAAAGACCTGTTTCAATAGTTGTTACTGTCCTATGCCCTAATTGATGGGCTACATTCCAACTAGGATCATCCCATCTGCTCTAACACTCCAGATTTTTATGTTCAGTTTTGTTCCATAACATTGGGATAGATTTTTGATTGATAGGCTTTTTCATAACTGTTGTGCTAAATAATGTACATTTAACCATAGTGTCTGTACAATGAGCCTTTGAGATATGGTCCCTAAATGTCGCTTGTTGCCATAGTAAGAAATCTCTCCTGGTGCGGGGCAGATCGGAGCCACATACCAGCGGTGCTTGACTCACTTCAGTAACATTCACAAGCCCGTGCAAAAAACATTTCACCTTCAAGTCTGCACAAATCTTTCTGTTTGAATCAAATAAGTTTAGACCCAGCTCATTGAAATTAGTGTGACTAATAGTATCTGAGACAGATTTCCAGTTAGTGAATTTAATAAGAGTGTGTATGTGTGTGTATTATGGAGCACTGTTGACTTTTTGGTTGCCAGCAGTATATGAAAAATGAAATTCATGTGTCTATCTCTTTGTATGCAGAGTGTCCGATTACTGGATGACAGACTGCTCTCGACACAACACATTCTTTCCTCCCTCTCCTTAGATAATCACATTAAGGACGTTTCAAGAGGCTGTGATTAGATTGTACAGGCACGCTGGTGCTGCCATTCAGAAAGATACAGAAAGAGAAATTATCTTAAGAGTTTTAGTAAGATATAAGACAAAACTTTGCCACTGCTCTTGTACATTATACCTACTAAAAGTGTTGTAACATTAAAATTTTTATGTTTCCATGGTGGAAAAAAAGTTTTGTGATGTTGTCTGACTTTTGTGGGGTAATATCCACCTGGCCAGCCTGTATTCAAAGTCTGTGGATGTGTAATTAAGCCAAAACATAGTGCACATGTACCCAGTTCTGAAAAAGCTGGGATGCTGTGTAAAAAGTAAATATTCTCTTGTAAATAAAAAGAGAATGCAATGATTCTGCAAGTCTCTTAAATCCATATTTTATCCACAATAGGACCTAGAAACATATTAAATGTTTAAACTGAAAAAATGTACTGATTTAAGAAAAATATTAGCTCATGTTGAATTTGATGGCAGCAAAATATCTACAACAAAAGTTGTGGCAGGGGGTGGGGGAGTAACGTTGCCCCATTCTTGTCCGATACAGGATTCTAGATGCTCAACAGTGCCGGGTCTTCTTTATTGTATTTTTTGTTTCATGTGGTGCCAAATGCAGTCCAGACCACGCAGTCCTAGACTGCACGTAGGGTGGTATGAAGCCATGTTGTTGTAATAGATGTTTAACTTTGTCTTGCTGAAATATGCAAAGCCGTCCCTAAAAAAGACTTTTTGGATCATATTCATAAATGGCTTTTGGATAATACACCCTTTAGCCTACATTTGTGGATGGCACAGTGGACTGTGTTTACAGACAGTGATTTCTGGAAGTGTTCCTGAGCCCATGCAGTGATTTCCACAACAAAATCATGACTGTTTTTAGTGCAGTGCTGCCTGAGTGTCTGAAGATCATGAGCAAACAAATACTTTCCAGCTTTGTCCCGTGCGCACAGAGATTTCTCCAAATTTTTGAAAGTCTTTGATGATGCTGTGTAACGTATATGATGAAATATTTAAAATGTGCACAATTTTATGTGAGGAATATTAGCTCTGCCACTCTAAGAAGCTCTTTTAACCCAGTCATGTTAAATACTTTGTCGAGAAATGTTCTTACAGCCTTTTCTTTTTAGTACCAACTTTTTAAAATGTTGCTACCATTGTATTCAAAATGCATATTATACCTTTCATGAAATAGTGCAATATTTTAGTTCAAACATCTGATATTTTTCTTTGTTCTAATGTGAATAAAATACAGGTTTTACATACTACACAGAGTCCGAACCTTTCAGATTTGGGTTGTATGTTTATCTCAGTTATGTAAAAGCTGAACTGACTGGCTGACAGGATTAACGTTATGAGCTGTTCAGGCAGAGCAGGATAAATTCCTCCTATGGATGAAAAACGATGATGACAGAGATGATTGCTTTACAGTGACTTGTATTAGAAAATGAAGTAATGTTGATTGTCATGTAATGGCACTGTGGGCGTGTACATTTGTGTACATATGAGGGGCACAGCGACAAATTTTGTGTTTTAACCTCACTGGTTTGCATGGCTCCAGGGAATTAGGTTTAACCAACTGGTTCTAGACAAATAGAGTGGGAAAATAGAGTGAAACCTGTGAGAAAATAAGTAAGTCCTTTAATGATACTCTTTATTTCCCTAAAATTGAACTCAGTTTTGTTATGTTGCTAATGGTTGATAAAAAAAAAAAGACATGATCATAAATGGGAGCATTTAAACTAGTGTTCTAGTAACAAGTACTGGGCAAGTTGCCTTAAATTATCTGAGGACATTCATGGTTCCCACAGGATGAATTCTGGATCAACAGGTCAAAATTTTAGTTCGTCCAATTACTTTTTAAAACACCTGCAAAAAAAATGGCCAGTCCTCATCTCGTCTTAAGCACTTATTAGCAAATGTGAACATGCTATGTTGCTAAACATGTTCACAGACTTTTGTGTCTGTGGAAGTTTCCTCTACCAACATGATGTTGCGAATATTAGTTTGCAAATAATTATGGAAGACTCTGCAATGCACAACTCTGTTGCATACAATAGACAAAAAAGAGCAGTGTAAAGCAGCAAAACTATAGCAGTTAATCGACTGATCAATACTTAACTAATTTATTTATATCTTGTGTTCATGTAGTACTACACACCCAGGATAGCTGCCACCCCTGCCCTCCAGCAGGGAAGAAGGTCATCTGCTGCTTCAGGTGTGGGGAGTCATGCAGAGGAGAGGTGCTGCGTGTTCAGAGCAGCTACTTCCACATAAACTGCTTTACATGCAAAGGTGAGTGTTGATGGAAGGACACCACTGCACTGGTATTACTGTCCTGGTAACGCAGCACTCGAGTTTTAGGCTGAAAGAGGAATCTGTTTATAACAATGTTCCTGATTGTCATTTCCATTTCAGTCTGGCTTTGTCTAACCAGACAGTGATGCAATTTTCCTGAGGACAACAGGCCAGTAATTCAGCAGTCTATTGTGAGAACCACCTGGGTTGTCAAATGGCCAATCAGTGGTGTTACTCTGCTTCGTGGAAAACATGCAGTGCTTCCTCTGCAAGCAATTGTCCCCACTAATAAGCTCTGACAAGCTTCTAGTGTTGTTGTCCTTTCATGTCATTGTGACGATGTTTACAGCGCAGGGGAAACAAAGAGACTTTCAGAGAAGAGAAGCTTGCAGTACGGAGAGAGCAGGGCGAATGAATCAATGTCTGACTGTCAGAAATGTGTCTATCAGTGTTACACTGCAACACATTGCTGTTAAAATACAGGACATTTTAAAGTAAAGTAACCACACACTGTTACTGTTATTGTTCTTCAGTCAGTCTTTTTTGAGTCTGTTGCTTGCAAAATCATACCACTACCTCATTTCGTAAACATATCTCATACAAAAATTCAAATGTCAGGAAAAAATATTGCAGTGAGCCAAAGAGGTAGTAACTCTGGTCAGCAGCTATCCCAGTAGTTTCACATGAATGTTAATATTTATGTTAAAGTAAATCTTGTGTCATATCAGATGTGTTGTGTTTAGCGTTTGATTGTATAAGATGTGTGATTTATTTTTCAGCTGTTTATGTGGCCAAGGACAGTGTTAAGCTTTCGCCAACTTGGTGCCAGTAAAATATAATATCCTTGTTAAAATGCAGTGAATTAGGGCTGTTGATATTTTGTGGAGGACTGTCATTATTTTTGTGCAAATTTAAAGAAATTTGCACAAAGTTTCTATTGATTAAAAAAAATCTCCTGCTTTGAACATGGAAGCAGGGACATGTTCAAAGATGGTTGAATTCAAAATAGCATAATTTGGAACTTGTTTACATTGTTAGAGAGTAGCAGGCGGACAGGAATAGAGCAGCACAAATCTGTCCTTGGCATTGTGTGCATTCTGTTGTGGCAGGCGCAGCAGGACAGGTTGGATGCTGCAGTATCAAATAACTAATAACAAGCAGACAGACAACTCTATATATCGCCTGTAAACTGGCACGAAGCTGATCAGTACACACGCACAATGTTTACATTGTGTGTAATGCACAAAACCACAGAAATGTTTCAGGAAGCCTTAAAAATCAGAGGGTCAGGGAGCAGAAATAGCCGATGCTTTATTAACTTCCTACTGTGACAACATCAAGAGTGAAGGTGACACTTTACGTTAGCTATGGTCTGAAAACTAAACTAAAGGGCAACAGAGTAAACAAATGCACAAAGACAAAGGGAAAAGTAAGAAATATTACTTTTTAGACCAACTTAAAGTGGCCACTTTGGGGTCAAAGGTTTGATGGGTTTTGATGAAAAAGATGTCTGCAATGACTTAAAGATAAATGGGTCAGGCAAAGTCTCTAAATAGAGCTGGTAATAATCCTCTTTGGTGTTATCACTAGCTTTTACATCACTAACTTGTAACAGTCTTGATATAAAACATTGTAATATTGATCAGATCTTTCTCTGAATGTGTCTCTGTGCAGTGTGTGGCTGTGATTTAGCTCAGAGTGGCTTCTTCATGAGGAATGGGGACTACCTCTGCCCGCTGGACTTCCAGCGACGTCATGGCACAGCTTGCAACAGCTGTGGAGAATTTGTGGAGGGAGAGGTGGTTACGGTGTTGGGGAAGACCTACCACCCAGCCTGCTTTGTTTGCGCCATTTGCAAGTAATCTTAAAAAATATGTTTGGGAGGTTTTAGTTCTACATACATGTCTTACAAATCTGTGGTATAAGTGTGTCTCTTACTTTGATTCTCAGACAGCCTTTTCCTGCTGGGAATTGTGTCACCTTCATTGGAAGAGACTGCCTCTGCCAGCGCTGTATGGAACCTGTGTCGCCGTCTCCAAACGCCACCAGCTATTCCAGCAGTAAGAGCATTCCTGCATACTCTCTAAGCAGTGTTCATATCAAAATATTTAAAAAATATATCAAAGGTTTTGATCCCTTGTAGTTTTAATAAGACAGTGGATTATACATTGAACACTGGCCAGCTGTGGGTCTTCTGCCAGCTGCTTGTGTATTTAGTCTATCCTGTCTTCAAGAGTCATTCAAGGTCAATATCTGTTAGCAAACAGGAAGTTTAAGTCTTCACTTTTTTGCAGGTAGCACATCAGACTCTCCTGTGCTTGTGTAGAACGAATTGGATAACAAAAGTATTTGGGATCATTCATGAAATCTGCATGTAAGAGGGGGAAAGAAATCAATCATCAATTGTAAGCCTTTTCTGTGTCTGGGTAATGTCACCTTTCTTATCACTATGACGGCTACACAGTGTCACTAAATCCAGTCTAATACCCGCCTGCAGCTGTTGTGGATTTCTTTACAACCCTTTAAGTTGACTTTCCTTCATGAATCCAGTCATCCTATTGTGAACCTGCCAGTATGAAGCAAGAGATACAGTAAAACGTAACTCTTTACCTCTGCTTGACCTCGTCTGTGTACTGATTATAGATAAATGGGGGATAAATCGGGGATTTGGACTCACAAAGCCTCTGGACTAAGAGGATCTCTCCGCAGGAGTGTGCGGAAAGGTGCTTTTCTCATGGCAGAGATTCATCAAGCTGCTGGAAACTTTCCTCAGAGATGTTGGTCCATATTGACATGAGAGCATCACACAGTTGCTGCAGATTTATAGACTGCACAGCCATGATCTGAATTTCCAGTTCCATCCCAAAGGTGCTCTATTGGATTGAGAGCCAGCGACTGTGGTCATTTTACTACAGTGAACTTACTGTCCATGTTCAAGAAACCAGGGGAAATGATAAGAGCTCTGATGTGTTTCCTGCTGGAAGCAGCCGTCAGAAGATGGGTAGAGTCAGGTCTTGAAGGGATGGCCATGGTCAGCAACAACACTCATGTAACCTGTGGTGTTTAAACATTACTCAGCACTAAGGTGCCCAAAAATGGAAGCTCAGAGGGGACAGGGCATTCTCTGTTGCCTCCCCTAGTTTATGGAATACATTTCTTTAAAGCTCATCTTAACACACATTTATAGTTTCTGGATTTTGACCCAACATTGGTTTTTTTGGTATTGTTCTTACTTTTCATCATTGTCATTGTATTTATTTTTAGCATACCAAATATAAATGAATGAGTTATTATTTTAGGTACAGTTGCCTTCCTATAAGCGCCAAGCAGTCCAGCCATTCCCCTTTGACCTCTGGCATCAACAAGGCCATTTTTCATCCAGAGAACTGCTGCTCTCTGGATGTTTTCTCTTATTCAGATCATTCTCTGTAAACCCCAGAGATGGTTGTGTGGTAAAATCCTAGCAGATCAACAGTTTCTGAAATACCCTTTCCTCACTGTGATGCTTGGTTTGAACCTCAGCAGGGTGTCTTCACCAAGGTCTACATGGCTAAATGTCATGTGATTGGCTGATTAGATATTTTCATTAATGAGCAGCTGAGCATGTCTAATAAGTTGAGCAGCTGCCTTCTAAGTGACCACTGAGTATAAACATATATGTTGTGTTTTCAGACTGCACTGGCTGTGGGAGAGACATCAAGAATGGACAGGCTCTATTAGCCCTCGGAGGCCAGTGGCACCTAGGCTGCTTCAAGTGTAAAACCTGCAGGAAAGCGTTGAGCGGAGAATATATCAGCAAGTAAATATAAATGTCTCATTCATGTACTCACTCATTCAATATGCTTTGTCTTCCGCTTCCTTAATCTTTTATTTCTAAATTGAGTATGATATGATGAATGCTGCTAAAATGATGATATAAAAGTTCCACATGTACTGCTGGGTAAGAGTATGTCATGTGCATCTTTCAGGGATGGAGTTCCCTACTGTGAGAGAGACTACCAGATTCAGTTTGGGGTAAAATGTGAAGCATGTCAGAAGTTTATAACTGGAAAACTCTTAGAGGTAAGAGAGGTTGGCTTTCAGCGAAGAGTCTTTGTTTCTTTTTCTGTTGCAGTACATTTTATTACAAACATTAGTCTCAGAAGCCCTTCAGAGATTTAAATCTGTTAAATTCCTCTTTGTAGTCCGTAGCTGCCTGTCTTTAATTTTGCTGAGTGTTCATGCAACTTCTTTCCCTGGAGCGTCGCGTGTGCCGCCACTTCTTCTGTTCCTAAAAAGGTCTAATCACCTGTTTTGAATGTTATCTGTCTATTTAATGGCTATTATCATTTCCCACGCCTAACAAGTGTCCTCCCACTCTAACGACCACACTCTAGGCTGTTAACACCTCATTTAGTCAGCGGTCCAACTACACTGCTGGGCAGACGTAACCTGGTGAACTGCAATGTGATTTCTGCAGCAGTTCATTTCATGCAGCTCCTGCACATACGCAGTCTGTGAGCCACTTTTGTCTTCCTCATTATCTGACTTAGGCTGGGGACAGACATTATCACCCCAGCTGTGCAAGATGCAGCCAATGCGACAGGATGTTCACAGAAGGAGAAGAAATGTATGTGCAAGGTCAGTTTGAGATCGTAGCCTCTCTTTAAATAAACGGCCTGTCTATTCGAGACCAAGAAGCATTTTTGGTCATTGATGAATGCATAAGAACGGTCCTGTTGGTTAAAAACGGTAAAAGTCTTCTCATTTTGGTAAAAGTTGCAAAAATCAATTGTCTCTTCTTTCACAGGATCAGTAATTTGGCACCCAGATTGCAGAGAAACCAGCAGAATGGAGGACAGCTACAGGGTAAGTTTTTTTTTACTCATTGTTAAACATGTTAGAGGCAGTTTGAGGATTCTTACTATCATTTTCTAAAACAAATATAAGTGATTTTACAAACTCACAGAGCAAAGACTTACTGCAGCTGTAAAAGGTGATTTCTTTACGAGATGTATTCCTCCCCAGGTCGGGAGACCTAAAACGCCCTGTCTTGATTTCTTTTTCCCTCAACATGAACTGAAGGTTAATACTGCGAGCAGGTCTGCGGTTTGCAGTGAGCAGGCTGCGATCTCGTGCTTCGAGATTAACCACACGTGCTTGTTTCACAATTCAATATGACAGACACTTTGCTCACCTGGCTGGTCAAATCAGAGCTTGTTTCATCTGATTCACAGTCTACATTAGATTTGTTTACATTGCACAATGATTAGCAGGACCTTTAATAAGCTACTGCTTCTGAATGAACTTTGTTGGCAGTGTTGCATGCTCGCCTTCACACTTTTTTTTGCCATCAACCACATTGAAATTGGCTGGAAATCTCTTAAATAATCACATTACTTAGTTAAGTGCCTCTATTGTACACTGAGTGTGCCATGGATTGCATTCCTGAAAATAACGCTTGTGTGTGCGTGGATGTAAAGCCATGTGAAAGGCCACAATCAACAGCAAAAAAAGAGTACCGTTTCCAAGGTAGCTCTTTCTGTTGCTTGATTTTTTTCTCTCCCATTCTCAGCAAACTAGATCATCATCTGAAAGCTCCTGTTCCAGGCCGGGCTCATGCACTCCTGGCAGCCCAGGTCGAACCATCTGTGTAAGTTCACAGGCCAGCATTTGCGTCTATGGTGTGTGATTCACCGTGGGTTGATCTGTGTTTGACCTATCCTTTATTTATACAGGGGAGTCGCACGGACGGAGTTTCCCCCTTGCAAAAAAATTCATATTGATGTGAAATGTGGAGGAACACTTAGGGAAATAGAACATTAAAATCAGTAACATAATTCAACAAGTGGTACCTTGACTGATTGGAACTAGTTTCTTGGTGCTTGTTAGGCAAAATGTGATTTTAGTTGTGGCTGAATGATAAAGAATGTCAATGCATCCATAAATTTACTGAGAAAATCAGGGTTCGAATGCATTCAGACCGACTTTGATCACAAAAACTGGTGCTTTCGGTATAATTCGTTTCCTCCACCCAGCTTTTTATCACCCACAGAAATGAAATAAACTTTACTCCCACCAAAACACTTCAGAATATAAGAAAACTACTTCTGCTGTGCACAAAAGCCTGGAAATCATTTTGCATGTTAAAACAAAAACATTGGATTTTATTCTAGACTAATGGAATCCGCTCACCTCATGTGCCTAAATCGCGGGATTAAAGTTTAATTCCTCTCTGAAATGATGTAATAAGACACCTTTGACCTTTCATAAGACCTAATCTGTTGTGTCTGCTCCTTGTGCATCCTCTTCTCTCCTTTCCTCCCTGTCCTGCTCCCAGGCCAAAGTAGATAATGAGATCATTGATTACAGAGACTTAGCAGCAATTCCCAGAGTCAAGGCTATATATGATATTGAGTATCCTGATATGATATCTTATAAGTCTGTGAATGACCACCCCTCCACTTTGGATGAGAAAGGAAACACACAACACAGCCAAAGAGTCCAAAAAAGTCCTGCAGAGGTAATTACATCGAACGCTCCAACTTGTGTCGAGTGACATGTTTGTGTGTTTATTTTATTTAGGAGTCTAACCAACTACTTGTTTTTCCTCATTCTTGTGTTTAGTTGTATTTGGCCAAGAAAATAAAAACATCTATTGTAAAAACAATTCTTTAGAGGGACAGATCACCCTAAAATGAAATATGCATGTCATTATTGTGGAATGTGGAGCTATTTATCTATTTAGTCTGTTTCACTGTCTTGAAGGAAGCATGCTGTGCAGGGAGGTGGATGCTCATGACAGTGGCAGCAGTAATGACGTCTCTCTGAGCTTAGCTGTAATGTGAGGTAACTGCATGCTTCCTTTAGTTTGGTAGGTGGAGTCAGAGTTCCTACATTAAACTGCTTAAAATTAGATCAGTGGAAGCACCGATGCTGAGGTTTTCCAACATGTTTTTTGGTTCTTGCCATTTAGTTCAGTTGTATTCAAAAGAAGCCAAAACTTGGCAGCTAACATCAGAACAGTCGAGATGGATAAATAGCGCCACAGACCAGAAGAAAAAGCTTGTATATTTTTGTGAATTGTCCCTTAGAGTGTGCTTTGAAGCAAGAGTGCTTCAAGTTTAAATTTTTACATTAAAATGGTCCATCAATCCACTTTCATGTGTTTATCTCACATTGAAATCTGAGTCAATGTTTGAACATGAATCTCTCGAAAGCTATTAAAGATACAAGCCTCAAATTTTCACTGGTCTCACTTGCCATCACAATGAACCAGAATCTGTAGTTGGGACATATACATCGAAAAATGTCTTCATACGGACTAATTAAAATATGAAAACAATTGAAGAAGCCCTGTCAAGTCCCATATTTGAGAGTGTGCACTAGTTAAAATAAACAACCTTGACATTGCAAAAGACAATTAGTGAGTATTTCTAAACATTCAGATTTCATAGTCATGCAGAAATAAAACACAGATTACTTGTTAACATGAAATTCTTAGTCTAAAAATGAAAAAAATCGTATTTTAATAAACCAATACTCAGATATTTTGAGATGTATCTGTCCCAAATTACAGATCCTGAGTCATTTTAAAAGGGATTCAGGATTTGATTTTTTTTATAGTTTTTTAGATTTTCATTGTCAAGCATTGCCTCTAAGACTGACAAATGAAGATAAAACACATGGAGAAAACATATAAACTTTCTAATTTGGGATGGAATCACCCATATGCTGTGTTACCTTCGAATTAACTACGCGATTCAGTGAATGTGCTGATTTTGCTTCTTTTCTTTGTCTGATTTAGTCACCAGAAATCAAAACTGAACCCACAGAGGTAAAACACACTTTTATTAACTTTACTTACAACAGGCGCACAGAAATACCATGAAATCTGGTATCATACAGTGTGAGCCAGTCTTCCCTTTAAATCGATTTATTTTCACGTGGAGTTTCAGCTGGCTTTGTTTTCCTCTTCTCAGGAGAGTTTTGAAATAAGAACACGTGTACCCAAATCTAAAAGCCAAGGGCCTTTCGGACTTCATACAATGTATCATCGCCATAGCTACACTCCAACTTCGTCCAGATCACCACAACACTTCCACCGACCAGGTGAGATAACACAAAAGAAGCATACCAACACTCTTGTTTAAAGATATGAAATGCATCCCATGTTCAGCTGTTCTCTGTTTTACCACCACAACTCCTTCTGTCTGCACTTCCCGAAATCCAAAGGGTTCCCGCTTTCTTCCTCTTTATTCTGTGGCAACACTGGCACTTCCCCTCCTTCTCTTTTATATCACACCTTTCCCTCTCAAAGCAAAGGTAAGACCCCTGCTTCTGTGCCACCCTCTTTAAGTCTTCTCCTCTATTAGTGTGTTAAATTGCATTTTGTATTCCTTATTAACCCAAATTATTTAATGGTGAACGCAGCACTGGATTTCATTTGGATGAAGTCTGAAACACAAAAATAATACCAACAAACTATTTGGAACTAGCACGCATGGTTCACTTTATTCTTTGAAACACTGTGCCACCTAGTGGTCAAAATTCAGAACTTAAATTCTGCCTGGTTTAATTATTTTAAAATGGCTTTGATTGATTCGATAAATAAATATTTCAGTCTCTTTACAACTTCACACACAACTTCCTGTGCAGCTGTGGTTATTTATAGCAGCGTTGTGCCTTTGAGTGAAGTTTATCGTGTGCGAACGAGATCTGCCGAGCTTTGATCAGTCATCACTGGTCTGTGTTTTTGTTGTGGTAGATTACAAACTAACTGCCTTAAGGAAACCATTTTTGCATTTTTCATTGCTTGAAATGCTTCCTGATTTTGACGGTTGATGTTTTCAATTTCAAGCAAGACGCTAGTGTTAATACTAACTGTTTAAAACACTGAGAATAAAAGTGGAATAGTTTGACAGCCACCTTCCAGAGACATACATTCATACTAATCTAATGTTTCCACTGTGCAGTAGTGAAAAAAATGAAGCATCTGCTAATACTGCATTCTTTTCTGACAGCAGACGAAAGCTTCAACGTGTACAGGAGGGCCCCGATTTATAAACAGCAAGGTACAGTATTTAAAACTGGTATAAGTTATGCTTGAATCACTCAAAATTACATTTAAGTTTCAGTTGTGTTGTTTAAAAGTATGCATTTGTATCTTTGTAAGTTAAGCTAAAGAAGCGACTTTTTATCAAGACCTTAAGATCTTGATAAAACTTTACCTCAAGTCACTACAAGATATTTTAAAGTCAGTTTTGCAGTATAGTTAGTAGTAAATGGCTGAGCTAAGAACTGGAGAAGGTAAATTTTTCTCAGTAGGTCTATTTCGGGCAAAGATCCCAGTCTAAGTGTAAATCGTCTCGTGATGAGCTTATCTGTCTGCTTTCACACAGATCCAAATTCCTTGACATCCCCAGCATCCTCTTTGCCCGGTCGGAACAGCCTCAGCCCGGTAGGACACGCGTTACTAATGCTTAAATCTCACTTTGGAAAGCTTGCATAAGCCTGGTACATGACATTCGTCTAATTGCTGAATTAATTAGATACACACTTTGATTAAGCTTTGTTTTAAAGTCAAATTAAATGAGACACATCTACAAACAAACATTTAATCTTGTACACACACACACACACACACACACACACACACACACATATATATATATATATATATATATATATAAATACAGTTTATTTATTTTTAATGCTTTTCTATTTGATATATGTAGGCGCTAAATAAACACTTTAGAAAAGGTTATTATATTAATATTGTGAAAATTTTGTTTTCATGTGTTTTCTAAGCCACGGCCAGCTGATTTCTCCCACTACCATGACGACAGATGCAGAGGTATCCATGTAGACAGATGTGGTTAATTACTATTTTAACTACCATTAAAATGAAATTAATTACACTTTGTTGGGATTTACTCTCTCTCTTTCAGACTTCAGGGTATGTGACAGTAACCGAATGGAGTTGGTATTCGAGTCAGTCCTGGTTCCCTGTTTGGTTTGTGGCATATTTTTTTGAAGAACTGGCCTAACTCATTGTGTGAATATATCTTTATTAACTCATATTTCTACATAACCCGCTTTTTAATCATGCATATATTCAGCTTTACTCGCATTTATCTGGAAATAATCAGCAAGTCTTCAATCAGGTCATGATATTTTCCAATTGCATGTGTTTGCTTCATTTTGTAGCTCATCTATGACCATCAGTACCCATTAACACAAATGGAGAGAGGAGTGTCTATGCCTAATTTGTTGGAACCAAATGCAAGTATTATATTTTATTTTATTATATAATTTGTCTTTTAACACACTTATATCACATGAGAGTTTTAGTAGATGCACCTATGGTGTGATTCCAAAAAAGTAAGTTGGTTTGTTCTCGGGTTATTGCAATCACAAACTTGGGTCACCACAGCACCCACATGGTGGTGTGATGACAATACCACATCGGCCTTTTACGGCTGAGGGATATAGCGTCTGGTTCCATAGCAGGTCCTGAAAATATGTAAATACAACCTCAGCTGAACAGCAACATGACACATTACACCATGTTTAGCAACATAACTTAAAGTAATGATAAAGTATGACTTTTTCTGTTGTGATTTGGGTTTTGCTTGGGATCACTGTCCTGCTGCATGGACCCAGTTTTGCCCAAGCTTTAGTTGTTGGACAGATGGCCTCACATTTGATTTTATATAAAGTGCTCCATAACAAATGCTCCAAACATGGCCCAGTGCATTATTGCCAGACATCTCCACTTTGGTTTCATCTGCCCAATACATTGTTCCAGGTGTCTTGTGATTTGTTCAGATGCAACTTTGCAAACCTGAGATGTTTTCTAATTGTACAGCCATGAACTTAAACATTTAACACACTTGAATGCTTCAGACCAGCAAGCTGCCAAAACATCTGCTTTTATGCAACAAGTTCTCACATTTGTTGATGATCAATTAACAAGCGAATACTTACCCACTAAATTTCTATGGAAGCAGTAAGGGTGGACTTGTTATTTTTCACACACTGCTTCTGAACTTTGGCTTAGTTTGTGTTAAACAATGAAACTGTAACTTGTTATGTATTTTTCTTCATCTTAAGTTGTATTTACCAAATTTTAAGACCTGATGAGGTTGTGTAGATTTAATTAATGAAATGTTCTCAAATGGTTTTTATTTGTTTGTCAAGATCTATCCATATGAAATGCTCACAGTTAGTAACAGAGGACGAGTGAAGCTTCCCAGGGATGTTGACAGAACAAGACTTGAGGTGTGGCTTAAATGGTTTTCTTTAAAAAAATAGTTATAAGTTTCACTTAAATGTAATGTTTGAGCTTTATATTAAGAAATAATCAGACAGAATTACTCTGCGGCTTTATGCACAGAAACATTTAGTTCATCCTGCTTTCTTTTTGCAGCGTCACCTGTCCCCAGAATCATTCCTCCAGATCTTTGGAATGGATATTCAAGAATTTGACAGACTTCCACTTTGGAAACGTAATGACATGAAGAAGAAAGCCGATCTTTTCTAATACATGCTGTGAATATGCGATGCACGAGTTCCTTTGAACCTGTATGTTTATTCCAATGTAAAAAATAGCACAAAAAGTAAGGACATTTGTGGTTGGTTGATTTTTCTTCTTTTGTCTTTTTAATTTTTTTGTAACAATTGCATTTGTAGATTCAATAGCAAAATAACTGGTAGAGAAGATTTGGCAATTTTTTTCATGGGCGCAACCCACAGACTGCTCAACCTACAAATACATTTTCTTACAAATGTAGCACCATTTAAGGGAGAATAAACCGGCTTTTCAGCCGCATAAGATTTGTTGCCAAGAAGCATTGTTCAAAGCATCAACCAAACAAATGTCCTTACTTTCTGTACTAAATTTATTTGGCACAGAAATATGAAATGTTTCCCTAAAAACCGGACAGTTCACAATTATCCTGGGACACTGTACCTTTATCACTTTTTTTTAGTTGTTCATAGGTTAGAGTAAGGAATAATAGCATAATTAATATTATAATATTCAAAACTTAACCTTATTTATTTGTGTTTCCACGGGCAGCCGTGTATCCTCTAGATTCCCTGCTTATATTAAACAACTCTATATTTTTATTCTTGGAATCTGCTAGAGCAGCTGTTCATGATTCACAGTTTTAAATAATTTTCCTTTCCCTCTCCTTTATGACAACTTTCTTCTGGTTCGTAGATGTCCTCACAACAGATCTGTGCCTGAGATGACAATATTAATACATCATACAGAGCCAAGGGTAGAATAAACTGTCAGTGTTTAGCGGTTTAAAGCCTGAACTTCAGACGCATAGATATTATCGCTTGGATCATTTGAAACCATGGCCTTGTTTAACATGAGCCTCCACCATAGTAACTGTATGCAACACTATATGGACAATAGTATTGGACCATGCCTCTAGGATCACTGAATTTAAGTGTGGTACTGTAATTGGATGCCACTGTTGCAGAAAGTAATTTTGTGAAAAGCCTTCCCTTCCAGATATTGAGTGATCAGCTCTGAGACATTTTATGCTACACTCAGCAGGCACTTTGTTAGTGTCGCTCAGTTTGAACTTCAGCAGGTCATGTTCACCAGCGGTCCCCAACCAGACCGGTGTATGTTGGACAATATTTTCACGGACCGGCCTTTAAGTGGTCGCGGATAAATACAACAAAATAAACCAGTACCAGTACCAAAAAAGAAGAAGATTTATTCATAACACACGAGAAAAGACCCAGGGAAACAGAGTTAACGATAAAAAAATAAAGATAAAAACCCCGAAAACCATAAATTTCACACCCGAGCCTCAAGTCTCATGGCCCCGTACCAAACAACTCATGGACCACTATCGGTCCACGGCCTGGGGGTTGGGGACCGCTGATCTACACCATGCCTAAATGCACTGAGTTGATGCGCTGTGATTGGCTGGTTAAACGATTGTGTTACCGAGCAGAAGAACAAATGTACCTAACAAAGTTGCTGGTGAGTATATAAGTAAAACATAAGTTTGCTGGTGAAAGAAACTGAATATGATGATGATATGTTTTCCTATTATGTCTATAGAATTTAACTCTGTTTCATACCCAGTGATATAACAGAAGTACTGGCATGCTGCAGGAATTCCTCAGACCTGAATGGATCCTTTATGTAAATCCCATTGATTTTGTTGTGGCTACTTGTTAACTGTTACAATCAAGCTCAAAATAAAGTCACTGATGCACCATGAGCAAGTAGCCTGCGATGAATATAAGTTCAGTTTTCAAACAAAATCTGAACAGTCTGCTTGCTTTTTTCCACAGCAAGTAAGCAAACAAAGAACAGAGTGCCACTCAGTTGAATTTCAATGTAATTCTATTTATGTTCTTTAGGGAAAACATACGGCATGGACGATGTTACAAAAACCAAAGGAAGACAATTTTTAAACACTAATTGGGGAGATGGGAAACATCAGGGAACACAGCTGAACAGAATCTGACTAACGAGACAACAAAACCAAAAACAGAAAATAAAACAGGAATACACATGACACATTGACAACGTTGAGTCCACTGTCAGAGGCCATAAGTAATATTACTAACCCTCACTAGTTCTGTTTCTGTACTGTGACGAGTTCTGAAACCTAACTGAACTCTTCAAATATACCATTCCTCTGCAGATAATTGGTTAACTGTTTTACAACTACTTAAGAATTTTTGACATAAAATTGACATAAAAGTTTAATTACTGCCATAATAAAAGCCTGTGGTACAGAGGTCGTTAATAAAGACAGCATACACATATTCAAGACAGAAGCATTAATTAATGGTAAGACGTTTTTAAGCAGTCTTGTAGGAATGGGGTCTAAGAGACAGATTGATTATCTGCAGGAAGTAATTATACAGTTTGTGAAGGTTCTCAGTCATCCAGGTCATCGTAGTCAAAGGAGCTTGCAAAGAAGTCCAGACGCTTTTCTTTGCAAGCTCCTTTGACTAATTATACAGTTGCACATACTGTTCTTGAGAACTTTATACTTGGGCAAAACTAGCAGGTCTAATACTGAAAAGAAAACTGTAAACGCCTATTTTAAATGCAAAGAATACAGATGATTAACCATTTAATGCAACTGTCTTTTTTTTATTAGGAAACATCCACAAAGCCAAAAGAGCGATTTAAAATCTAAAGAAGAACATTTGGTGAAAATGCCCTCAATGTGTAACTGTAAGCACAAAGAGCACTGAAAATGCTGTTTTTGGCCAAATGGGAACATTTTCTTACTACCATCTTCCTGCAACTTTAAAAAGCAGCTGCACTAAAAGCATGTCGTTGTTTTTTTTTGTTTGTTTGCTTTTTATGGACAGAGTCGACTGCCGATGCAACCTGAAATTGGTTTGCAGCCTTTTAAAGTGATCCTTCAAAATCCTTTATGTTTCTATAAAAATTCCTTAACTGGAACACCTGTGCACACATGCACACCTGGGGTTGTGTATCTCTTTTTCAAAGGAGATCTGACCAAGAAGCCATGCTTTATTTGCACTTTATTATTAGACACTTTATTTATATAAAGGGTCCTTAAACATTTTTACAATTCAAGCTACACTGAGTACTCATCTAATTAAATTCTATATAAAATGCACAATACACAAAGTGTGATAGGTGCCAGCTTTTCTAACCAAACTAGGCTTTCCTTAAAACGTTTTATATGAAATTTAAATAGAAATCAAACATTGCTTTTTCCTCTGGTGGGGTTAGCAGATTTGATCATTTGTATTTGGGATGAATTTGGTAAAACAAAGATGGAGGCAGAGAAAATCAGGAAACAGCCATCTGAGTTTAAATCAAACTTCTAGACTTATTTTTTTAACAAGGATCAAGGATTTAATCAAGGGAAATGAATGTGTCGCATGGGAATTGCCTTCGTATGAAAATAAAGTACAATAGGAATAATAAGATCACGAGGGCTCTGTAATGTTCCTGAATCCTGTTGTGGTGCAATCATTATTTTTACTGTCTCTCTACTAACAGGAAGTAGCACTTTTTTTAATTAGCTTAACTGTTGTTGATAGCGTTGCTCAGAATGGAGTGTAAATAAGAGAACATGGCTGAAGCCGGCAACTCCAGATGATGGTGTAAGCGTGCTACCAGAAACAAAAAGCTGGCGACACAACATCACACCATAAAATCTTTTTCATTAACCGAAGACGTTAAAGCTAACTCTTAATCTGTTCCATTAAAAAAGCAACCAATGCTGGGCCCAACTAGCTTAATAAAGCTATCTTTCAATTAGAAATTAGCTAAGAAAATAACATAATCCACCACATACTTTATCTGCAAAGACCAGCATTCATACAACACTGTGAAAAGGGGTTTTGTTACATGCTCAAGATGCTGTAACCCAGGTAATGTGATGCTGTCGTGTTTTTTTCACAATTGTGCTTAAGGTATACAGCAGGGATATAAAACTAATTTTATGTTGTGTGCTGTAAGTGGACCAGTGAAACCTCCATTTCTGTCAGTGTAAAATATTTAATCCTTGAGATATTTTATAAAAAGACATCTCAGAGATTAGAATTTCAACATGGCAAACATCCTGCATCACATCATTAAGCATGTAGAACATAGTATGTTTCTTCAGTTCTCAGCACTTGGCTCCTTCTTTTTCGTAATCAGTTCTACCCATCTTTTCTTGAATTTGATTACTTGTTTTAATCTAGGTCTGGAATAAATTGGACCTGAGGCACCATTGCATTTTATTTTGGTTAAGTTAAATGTGTGTTTGCAAGCTAATTAGTAATTAACATCCTTAGCTAGCTAGCTAAGTCAGCTGCCAAGAAAAGCCGTGTCCGTTAGCTAATCCATAGACATAAATAAATTTAAGTTTAAAATAAACACTTAGCTAAAGTTGAGATTTTGCAAGAAACTTTGATCAGAAAAAAATAACAACTGGAAAAAAAAAAAACAACTGGAAATGATCAAAAGTGAAGTAATTATTAAGAGTGAGAAAATACTTGAATATATACAAATGACACTCTTAAGACGACGGGACGTAAGTGATATTTCAACTTGGTACTCCACAGTATTGTAGTTTACTTACCCTAGTGTAACAATAATTGAAACATTTGATTAAAACTTTTTTTTAAACTTGTATTAAGCAATAGGCTTAAACATTAAATTTAAAAAAAATTGTTTCTCCATGAACCCTTTCAGACTATTACATACTACAGCATATTTAAGAACAGAAATTTGGTGATTTTAATAAGCAATGTCATTCTCTGAATATTTATTACGGACATATTTTATCCGTCAAGACTTATTTGGCTGAATTTTGAGCTGCGAAGGACTATTTACAAATTTATCTTCCCTGATCTTGAGCATGATCCAGTTTTTGGTTACTTGCTGTTGAATACCCCTTTCTGTACTTGCAAGATCTCCACCGGCAGTTTCCTCTCATGAAAATTTGTTTCTCTGCCATTGCCCAGCAATGCCAGTGGAGATGTGGTCATCCACAGAAGATGGACAAGGCTCGATGCTTTGTGTGATGGCTACCTTTTTGTGGTAGTATTGTACAGCATCCATACGTGAAGCATAGGAATCTTGGCCACTTTTTCTGTGATGGTGTTCATTCAAACCCTTTGGGAAATTATGTTTTTAGGAAATAAATATATTAGGAAATATTGCCCTTTGTCTGTTGACTTTGGACTTTCCATTAACCTTTTGGCAGCAAAATAGAAACCTGCAATTTTATTCTTTGTATGTTTTTTTTTAATTTAAAATAATTTTAAATTTTTACTTTTTTTTTTTGCCAGGGTAGCCGTCACACTTTTCACTGATGCCACAGTTCTTTCTCCTCTTCTTTCTCTTACTCTGTCATCCTCTTCCAAGCCTCTAACCCTAGCCTTTCCATCTAGTGGGACTTTCTAATTTGTTTTTCCCCACAATAAATTTAGCTTGTATATTGCTGTAAACATTTTTCTTTTTTAAATTCACCTTAAATTCAGCATGGCTTTGATTTGATATTGCATTTTACATTCTGCAAAATGCACTGATTTGAAATCAACAGCTTTTTCGAGAGTTATTGGGTGACATCCTTTAAGGTGCAAACTTGTCGTTAATCTCCGGGGACCTGGCATATGTGGACATCACATTTTGGGTTGTCTAGGCCACAATACTAAATTTTACTCTACAAGGGCCTGATATCCACTTACGAGGACATTATACTGCCACTGTTCTATCGAAATTTAAAACTAATATCCTCTTATGTGGATCTCATTTTTCTCAGAACCAAAAATCAGGTTAAAAAAAATTTCAGGTAATTCTTTGTTTTTACATTTATCAGGTCCCAATCAGCCCAAATAGAAAAGAGAAATTAAAAGTGCATGCAATGAAAGAGTTCAGGTCTTAGGAGGTTAATCACAATCTTAGCTCTTTCCTGTACTTTTTTACCATTTCTTCTCTACCTTGATTTTTCTGCTTTAAAGGCATTTTATTAATAATTTAATAGGGAAAGTTTTTGCAATACTGTCGATTTATAGCTGACCAAGACATTAACATGCTGTAGATTTATAGTTAGAAAGTCGTGGTTATATATTTTTAAATTACATTGAAATGCAATGGATTTATAATGTTAGAGGAAATTATATTGAAATACTGTGGGGCTGTA